AAATTCCAGCCCCGCAGCTTTTATAGGTCTTGAGATGAAAGTGCGTGACAGACGCACACACAGACAACCTCTAATCAATATACGTTTTTCGCATTGCATTGCTGCAAAAAACGCATAAAAAGCAGGAGGCGGAATGAACGTCAGGATCACCAGCGGCTAGTCACTTAGCCAATGATCAGAGCTTTTGTAAAAGTTGTTGGCCGCATTTTTGAAGGACCAGACTACGGAACAGCAGCTGCTTCGAGTATTCAGATATACTTTGCGCTCATTTTAGCAACTGTTATGAAGCAGGGCCGGCCACCGCTTGTGATAATCATTCCATGGGGCAAAGGTGGCAGGCGTGAAATGATATCGATTGTTGACATCATGGTACCAGGTTAGTATCTTTTAATCGTGTTTTAACAATTTTTCTGTTCTTTTTTTCTCACTTTTTTTAATGTTCGTCGAGTCAAATAACAACAGTACGAAGTACTCAAAGAAAAAAGAATTCTGACTTATTGTGTGTACAATGAATTGTACGGGTTATTGCTTAAATCAGCCCTCACTGCATCGTAGCTTGTGATTTTGGTTTCGAATTTAGTATGATTTCGGAAACTCAGAGTGAAACAGGTCAAAAATTCGTAATTTTGCTGTAACACAAATGCTAGTCCGGCTAACGAGGTTGTGACGCATTAAATATAGTTGGCACTTATTCATAACTGTTCGCCGTCAGTAAAAACGCATGATGGCATGGATCGTCTGAGGCACGCTTTTTTTAGCCCGTGATAGGAGCATCCTCAGTATTTTTGCAGGAATTTTCCTGAATGTTATATTCAAGTTTGCGGATATGTACGATGCTCGGGCCTTCTTTCCTCCATTTTATGCTGCTGTAAGCGGATTAATGATAACCCTGATAGCTGCGGTGTTGCGGCAGAAGACTACTCCGGCAATGGTTGTTCCGGGAGCACTAGCCATGCTAATATCTTTGCTTTCTGTAGATGATCCATCTATTTTGTGGCGATTTGAAATCAAGCATTGACTTTCAGGTTTTATTCGACCTTTCACGCCTCTTTTGACGTATTGTTCGAAGTCACGATTAGCTATAACTTTCTTATTCACCTTTATGTCGCTTT